TTGTACTTAAACTTACTTAAAGGTGCATTGTGTAATTTTCTATTGATATTAAACAGTTTTTTTTTATCTTCATGGAGACCAAATGAGACCAAGTTGCAGGTCAGATCTGTGGAGAGGCGACCCCGCTCACAGCCAGAATGTCTGTTTTTCTAAATATTTTTGAGCTGTAAAACCACCTGTGACTGAATAAATGTAATGTAAAGCTGTGGAACATTCCAGACAAAGCAATAACATCTCCATGGACAAAAACATTTGACAGACCCTGCACCAGAAGTTACAATGCACCTTTAAGTAGTTTTTTCATGTGATACTTTTACTTGAGTATTTTTTGCTCTGGTATCAGTATTTTTACTTAACAAAATGGAGTACTTTTTTCACCACTGTTCAATGATCAAGCAAAGAAGTTAAAAAAAAACAAAGTATGAAATCAGATGTGTGCCCAGTGGAGCTGAAAACACATGCACAGGGGCTGCCCAGACAGTTTCATTCTGACGTTATGAAAAACACTTACTCAGATTTAAGACTTCCTAAGGTATAAACCACAACAGAGTAAACACCGGTGCTGCAGTATTTTTATATTTACTGTATCATCTCAAATTTCAGTAAATATGAGAAAACAAATGAGCAACACGTCTTTACACAACCCACAAGATAAAAGTTAGAAAAACGTGATTAAAAATGCATTAAAGGTAAAATAAAACGCATATTAAAGGTGTATTGTGTAACTTTTCTGGTGGAGGCTTTTCTCTGTGGACATTTTATTGCTTTCTCTAGAATGTTTCACAGTATGGCATTTCTATCTTCATGAAGACCAAACCAGGCGAAGTTACAGGTCAGATCTGTGGAGAGGCGACCCCGCTCACAGTCAGAATGTCTGTTTGTTAAGGTATTTTTGAGCTATAAAACCACCTGTATTTGAATAAATGTAAGGTAGAGCTGTTTAATGTCATACTGTGGAACATTCCAGGCAATGACGTATCCATAGAAACAAGCAGTTGACGGACCCCCAGCAGAAATGTTACATGGCGCACCTTTAAAGTACATATGACAGACTAGACTACTCATTTCTCTAAAACATAGTTAAAGGTGCACTGTGCAACTTTTCAGGTTTGGGGTTCGCTACCATGGAAATGCGCTTGCTTTGCCTGTAAAGTTCCACACTACGGTATTAAACTTATATGAGAAAAACATAAATAAGATTTTAGAATTAGGGGTGTTTTTATTACTCAAAAATAAAGCATGCATTCTAAGTCTGAGTGGTGTCGCCTCTTCACAGATCTTACTTGTAAAGTGGCCTGGCGGTACTTTAAGAGTAAAAGTATATCTGTTGTTAATTTGTTACAATCTAGTGATACTGATTAAATAATGGTACATATTTAGAGTTAACAGTTGCAATATGAATCAATTTCTTATTTTTCTTAGGAATTTTGTTTGCAAAGCTGAATCTTGAAATCAAAGTCTTTAGTCAGGTCGTTACCTAGCCAGGCTGGCACCACTTAGTGCCTCCGCTCAAAGTCATTTCTCTTCAGCAACTAGGTCAGGAATTAGAATACACTAGATGGTGTGCAAGAACCTCGGAAGTGCGAGTTCGGGCACCAGCCAATCAGAGACGAGCCATACATTCTGTGTTGTTAACGATAGCTGAGATCGAGGATTTAAAGCCGGAACAAAGAGAATATTTGGTGAATTTTATCAAGGGGAAAGACGTTATTGCCCTTCTTCCTATGGGATTTGGGAAAATCTTAATATACCAGTTAGCAGTGTTAGCAGCGCATTACATATGTCACAACCAAATAGCAGCGATTGGTTAAATAAAAAAAGTACCAGCCCATCAAGCGAACGAATCCTAACGCTGCAAGGTCAGACGGTTTCCACGAAATAAAACCGGTTGATGAATCAGGACATTACCACAAACATGGTCATAATAATCCTTAAAATCATATGAAAAGCACTTTTGACTGTTCTGTCCAGTTGAAAAATGTAGTGGAGAAGAAAGAACAGATGCCATCTCTTAAATGTAGTGAAGTAAAAGTAAAAAGCATCCACATAAAATTGTACTTAAGTAAAGTATAGATACCTAAACCTTCCACCACAGATTTTTTTTCCATTATATTTATTGCATATCTACAAACATGTAAACATACATACAAATACACAGACAAACAATACACACAAAGAAAATGATTCAGATTGATAATTTAAGTTGTAACATGTAATGAGCTTGTTTATGTTTAGGTTTTCAAATGATTTCAAATAATCTTGCATTTGATCGAAAGATTTGGGATCAGTATTATTCCACTTACAGCAATGAACACAATATTTTCCATATAAAATTATAACATTTAATATATATGTGGGTTTTTTATCAAATTTTTCCCAAGCTTAATCCCCACACCATGTAAAGGTTTTTAAAAAGTTTTCAATTCTACACCAAAAAGAAAAAACATATTGTCTCTGCATTTTTGATGGCGGTTCCATTTTAGAAATTACAGCTACTTCTTGTATTTTTGTATTTTGTTGTTTTGTACATTTCTTCACAAACTGCCACTGAACTGATGTAAAACTATGAAAAATATTTACTACTATCCAACAAAACCGAGTCAGAATTAGAAAAATATGTATGAATCAAAGTCAAATGCACATTAAGCTATGATGTTAATGTACAAACAATGAAAGTATGATTAATAAAAAAATAAAAAATGAATTCCCGGTGGATGTAGGTGTATCAGCGAAGGTGCAGCTGGTTTCAGTACGTCAGAAAATACAAACTGATACCAGATTTGATTCAGCCTCACAGGCTGCACTAGCTCTGATACATGATGATGCAGGTGCTGGGTTTTAGGCAGTCACAATTCACATCAGACAGAGTTATTTTTGGTTTAAAGCAGACCTGTTATGCAAAATCAGCTTTTCACAGCTTTTGACCATGTGTATAGTAGCTTCCTTCAAATTTACCCTTTTGAAGTTGTATTTGGAGTGATTTGTGCATGTTTGAGCCATCTTTAACACCTTAGTTTACTTATTTTATTTGTATCACATACATTAGGTCACTTCTCTGTACTTACTTCTTCTACAGTTTTATTTTTTAGGATTCGGCAGTGTTGCGTAGTCATTTTAGCTCAAATGAAAAACATTCCACCACTTGCCAGCGTGATCTGCAGCTACTGTATCCATTGGAGGGACTGACAGCTACACGGCTCTTCGTTGTGATGACTTTTACTTCAACATCAGCTCCCATTGGGCACCACAGTTTTACAACTTAAAGTCAGCGGACTAGTTTTCTTCAATTAATTTAAGATGAATATTATTTTTATTGTTCCTTTATTTATTCAATATTTTATCAGGTAAGTCAATTGAGAACAACTTCTCATTTGCAATGACGACCTGACCAAGAGGCAGGATAAAACAGCAAAAACAGAATACTCTCACTCATCAATCATAACATGAAACAGTGAACTGAAACATGAAACAGTGAAATATTTGAAGTTATAAAAGTCTTAAAAGATCCTGTAAAATAATCATGACTGAGTTTTTAAAAGTTAACAGAGAAAACAAACTAAGATACTATTATAGATTAGATCATAACTACCGAATATAAGGCACACTTAAAATCCTTTCATTTTCTCAAAAGTCGACAGTGCGCCTTATAATACTGTATTAATTCTGGTTGCGCTTACTGACCTTGAACTGATTTTATGTGGTACACGTCGCTCAAAAATCTGTCAAAATGTTTTAGTACGATTTTAGTAAGCTACGAAGCTTGATGAATTGTCAGAGCATTACGGCTACCATAGTCAAGAGTCTCGCGGAGTAAGTCTGACAGAAGTTGACCGCATCAGCACTCAACGAGCAAACAGTTTTTTTCAGCGCTTATCGTTTATGCAAATTAGCCGTGCGGATCTAAGTTTTGTTTCTGTAAGATTTAAACAAATGTGCACAAAGCTGCATTAAACACATTGTGACTCAATGTATATTTGAGAATTACGCCACTATCTGCCAATGAATCGTGGATGCCTGGGCGAAGGATCAGTCTCAAGTGTCGTCCGTTTGTTTCACTTAATGCGTCTTATAATCTGGTGCGCCTTAAGTATGAAAATAGATGAGAGAATTCAACATTATTGATATTGTGCCTTATAATCCGGTGCACCTTATAGCCCGAAAAATGCAGTACATTATGTATTTTATACCTAGATAATAGACACAAACACAATATATCTTCCTATAAACAAGTGGATTTCAGCACTGAAACTGGCAACCCAAATGAGACAGTCATGTGAGGCTCATTCTGTTTTCATCTTACTAATTGTCTTGAGAACCAAAACAGAAAATGTAACAAAAACTACTTGTTCATCATGTGCAGTGTTTTTGTCACTAAGAGTAAAAGTTGTATTCGATTTGAATATGTTTACTTCGTATTTAGAGTCTCTCAAACAGAAAACACTCTGTTCCACTTTGTGATGTCATGCTGTAATGAAGGAAGCGCTCCACTGTGTTTTTAAACTCTATATATCGTCACTAGAATATTTTGGATGATTTCAGCCATAGAATCGCCAATCAGAACATTTTGAGCTTTGGAAAGTAGACAGACTAATAATAAAAGGTTACTCAAACATGTGTGAATGAAACAAAAACCCAACTCCAGGTTTCTTTTTGATGTGGAAGTAACATTCTGACATGGATTAAAGCTCAATTTTGCATAATATTGAACGTTTAAAATGGTAAGTTGTGGACAGCAATGATAGCGCTGATGACTAAATAGGTGTGAAGTCAAGATTTTCGTGAATTTCAGTGAGTGTGTGTGTGAGGGGAACTCCCACAGCACAGAGAGTTGCACTTAGACAAATGAGCGTCCATTTTGAAGGATACACAACACACGCACCATCACACCAGATCTGCACTTTACAGGTGAGTGACTCATCTATAACTGCTGAGACTCAAACTCACGGACGGAAATAAAAACGCAAGTATGATTATGTTTTTGGTCATTATATAGTTCTAGTAACTTCATTTTCTGCCACTACATAGGTGCACTGTGTAACTTTTTGGTTGGGGATCTGTCACCTGCTTGTTTCTATGTCATTGGAATGTTCCACAGTATGACATTAAACAGCTGTACCTTACATTTATTCAATTACGCATGGTTTTATAACTCAAAAATACTTAGAAAAACAGACATTCTAACAGTGAGCAGGTTTGCCTCTCCACAAATCTGACTTGTAACTTGGTTTGGTTTGGTCTCCAAGGTAATAGGTTTAATGCCATACTGCGAAACATTCCAGACAAAGCAACATCGCCATGGAGTAAAATTTTCAGCCCAAATCTGTATCAAAATCAGCATGTCTGAAGCCTTATAAAACCTCAAAGTCTGTGCGAAATACTTTTACTTTTTACTCAGGAAGTTGGTGTCAGGTAGTCATTTTAGCTTTTAAAACCTCAAAATCTGTGCAAAATACTTTTACTTGTTACTCTTAAAGTACATTTTTAATAGGTACTTTAAAACTTTTACTTAAGTCAATTTTTTTCCATGTGAATAAGTATTTTTTGTTCTACCAAAACTCAATCACTGCTAGAGAATGGCAAACTTTACTTCAAAAAAATATTAAGGGTCCAAAAAATGACTCAAGTAAGTATTTAGGAAAAAAAGTATTTGGAAAAACTACTACTCAGGGAAGAGTAATTTAAAGAGTAACATCTGATTTATAATTTGAAGTGAATGTAATTGTAAGGACAAAATGTTAAACAGTACACAAAATCTGCCATTTTCAAGAAATTGTACTTTTCTAGCAGGGTACTTTTACTCGAACGTAATGTTTTTGTTGAAGTAACAGTATTCTCAGTTCAGTAAAAGTTTTGGTTACTCTTCCCTTCCCTTTTTGGACTTCAAATATGAGTTAGCTTTTCCATTTTTTGTGTCTATCCCTTCAAAATACCAGCTTCTATGCATTATTGAACATTTTGTCTTACTTACTTTGTACTAACTTACTATAGTTACGTCCTGAAGTTACTCTTTAAGGGCTCTTACTTGCGTACTTTTCCCAAATACTTTATTACACATACTTGAGTCATTTCTTGGACCGCTAATATTATTCTGAAGTAAAGTTACAGTTACTCGAGTACAATTTCCAGCTGTTCTACCCACCTCTGCCAAGACCAAGCCAACAGTTGCCATTCTCTAGCAGTGATTTGGTTTTGGCTTTTTTCTAAGATCATAACCAGATGTGTTTCAATATTTGTCTGTATTCAGCTTGTCTTTTGGATTCGTTTGAAGTGGCAAAACCTCATCTGCTGTTAGGATTCCCTGTGTTAGTTGGCATGGCAACAACAGAGAGAATAAGAACAAGAAACAAAAACAAGAAGAAGAAACAAAACCAAATTGTGTATCTCGGTATTTTGTCGTCACACGTGATAGAATTCTCAGTTTGCTTAACATTAAAGGTGCACTATGTAACCTCTAAGGTAGCGGGTCTGTTACTTATTTATTTCTTTGCCTTGAAAGTTCCACAGTAGGGCTTTAAACCTGCAGTATCTCCATTGCATTTGTTCAATTACAGGTGTTTGATAGCTGTAAAATACCTTAAAAACAAGAATTCTTACCATGTGCAGGCTTGCTTCTCCATAGATCTGACCATATTTCCATGGAGACAAAAAGGTGACGGACCCTCCTCCAGAAAAGTTACACAGTGCACCTTTAAACCAATAGAAATTTTAAAATGCTAAATAGTAAAGTTAGCGTTTCTTCAAAACTATTGTAGTATTTACCAGTAGGGACTTATTAGTGTATGTGCTTGTTTTGGCACACTTCAAAAATGGTAGGTTTCCATGGTAACAGTCATTTTTGATGTTCCATGCTGCGCTTTAAACATATTTAGTTTTTGTTTGTTTTTTTCGTTTTTTTTTTTTTTACATTTTTACTGTTATAAATGCTCATTTTGTTGAAGGTGCACCACAAGGATCAGTCATGGGCCTTCACTTTTTTCACTAAATATGATAGCAGTTGGATTTAATTTGAGGAAATACACAATTTTGTTGCTTTGGGGTTTTGACATTAGCCAGATTTACACGCCTTTAAACAATTACTACCCGAGACTGTCAAATTTACTGCTAATACCACATTGTTACACTAACTGTTGCATTGTAATGGTGGTTGAAACTTTTGATTTGAATACCTTATTTTTTAGTTTGGACAGATTTAGTATTGTTTTGTGTACTAACCACACTCAGCAAATTCAGTAATGACTACATGGTCTCTGAAGGCAGTGGAGGGCGGAGGAGCTACCACGCCTGACCAGCTCCCCCAGCAACAGAGCGTGACGCCATGCATTTGAACCCCAGTACAGGGAGATTCTACTACAAATCAGCTACAAGTTTACTATTAATTATTGAGTGAATGCTTGAAAATTCTGGTATGTTTCAATTTCGGTGTTTATTTCTTATTTTGTATGTTTGCTTATTTATTTATGTTGGGTTCAGGCCGCGCTTTTTGTCAGTAAGCCCAAGGTTGGCTTCAATAGGAAAACTGAAGTGGGGATTGGTGAGGAAATTAATAATGTAATGTAAAACTATTTGAGAAAGCTGTAGCTGGAAATGTGTTATGAAAGATATAGCACATCTTCATATTGCTGTTTATTTATTTAATTTGTATTTTATTTATGTACAACTATTTGAGAAAGTTGTAACAAGAAATGTGTCTGAAAGATTGAAGACGTTTTCATATTGCTGTTTATTTATTAAATTTTATTTATTTTTTAAATTCTTATTATATTTTACTTTTTAATTTATCTATTATTAATTTATTTTAATTATACATTTATTACTATTATTTTTTATAATTATTATTTTAAAAAAACTTTTCTTTAAATCTATGTTTTGTTTTTGTTTTTTTGTTTGATTGTTTGTTTCTTAATATATATATTTTTTTAAATCTATGTTGTATGTATGTTTCCCAGGGCTCATGGCTAAGGGCTGCTCTAGCGCTCAGTTCTGGGACTCCCTGCTTAACACCTGCATGCCCTGTCACCTCATCTGTCACAAGCAGGATATCATCAGCAGATGCAAAAAGTTCTGTGGTGAGTGTGCGATGCTGTTGCTCTACCTGGAATGTGCCACAGTGTAGCTTTAAACCAATCTATGCCCATTGAGAGTGAGGTCAATGAATCAGGTGAGATCAATGTGAGACCACTCATAATGACAAAATCATTTTTGACAAGATGCACTTCATTTGTTTAAAGTGCATGGCAGGTTAGAGTACTGTTTCACTAGAGCCAAAAAACAAACAAACAAAAAAAACACAAGCCAAACCAAAATGCAAAAACTAAAATGCAATACACAATAGTGATGAGAAAAATGCCTTCCTTCCTTGTAAATTGTCTCTGCGTTTGCATAGAATTCTCTGTATTGATGACATACGTAGGGGGATTCTGTTTTAGAAGTCTCTGCTACTTCCTGTTTTATTGTACTTTTCTTCTCTTTTCTGCTTTTTTCCCCCACAAACTGTGACTCAACTGATGTAAAACTATGATAAATATAGACCACAGGTACTACTTCACCAAACTAGAATTAGAAAGGTCCAACAGTATATTAAGCAGAACTGACTCTTGAGAACTTTTAGCCATGTTATGTATGTATATATGTATGTTACCTCCTCAAAAACAGACCTGGAGTTGTGTTTTGTTTCATTCACATATTCAATTCAATTCAATCTTTATTAAGAGCACGTAGTATCTGGTTCATAATATTAAAAAGAAAAGAAAATAGTAAGAGTAAAAAAGTTAAATACAGTGTATGTTATAATGTTTACAGACAAGAGCGCCAGTGTCTCCACAGCTTAGAGGTGAATCTGACAGAGCTCCTCACAGGACACACTAGAGCTTCAATGATTTGATTACTCAGATTCGTGGCTCTACATATAAATGAATAAATACAACATCTGATTGTGACAACACAGGGTCTCACACCACAATTTACAAACATTTCACTGGTGCTAACAGAACCTCGGCACTTTCAGTAATATTCTCCAAGAATCGTTATAGGCCACTGTCAAACTCTATTTCTTGTAGTTGTGCCAAAGATGCGCAGTATACATACATACATACATACATACATACATACATACATACATACATACATACATACATATGTTAGAGTAACCCTTTATTATTAATCTGTCTACATCTCCAAAGCTCAAAAAGCTGTTCCATGGAGTGGTAGTTTTCAAGTTAACAGCTACCCTTGACCATTTTTTAGTAGAGATTGGCAATTGCAGATCTGAAATCATCCAAATGATTCTCATGAAGGTGTATGGAGTTTAGAAACACAGTGGAGCACTTCTTTTACCACGTGACATCACAAGTTGGAACAGATTGTTGTTTGGGAAAAGTATTTCGCCTAAATATACAGGGTTTGTGTATTAAACATGTGTGAAAGAAACACAACTCCAGGTTTGTGACCAAGAAACAACATTATAACGTCTAAAGTCATTGATCAACCAACGCGTCAGTCTTTAGACCAGGGTCTCCAACCTGTAGCTCAGGAGCCACCAGTAGCTCTCCACCCCCTTCCAAGTAGCTCGCCAATGGATATCTGAATTCTGTGTACTGTGCTGAATAAGTAAAATTTGATTAATTACCATTGTAAATGTATAATTTTGATGTCTAACTGTGCACTAATAAATAGATTTTATGTTTCATAGACATCTAACTTGCCATGGCTCTTATATTTACTCACTGAGTGCGTATACATGCACATCAGTGTCCCGGTTATTAGCCATATCCCGGTTATGGCAGTATTCGGAGTACTGCGTATACATGCACCATGAAGAAACCAGGATACTCAAAAAACCCAATCATAACCGGGATACTGATGTGCATGTATATGCACTCAATGTCTTTGTGACTGCTTAAATTAGAAGCTCTCTGGCATTCCCGATATGTAAAGGAGCTCACTGGAGGAAAAAGGTTGGAGACCCCTGCTTTAGACCCTTCATCTGCTTCAGTGCACACCATTGCTGGAAGGAATCTCCAAGAATCCCCTTAGTTTAGCTTTGCTCCTTTTCCCCTTTTCTTCTTACAGCGACTTCAAAAAGGGACTTTCTTTTGCGGCTGAACTGATCGTGGATTCTTATCTGCCATCGCAAGAAACTTTATGCCAATTGTGAGGCAGCTACAATTCGAAAAAGCTGCTAAGAACCGCTGCGTTGGTTGAGTAAATGGCGTCTTGTGTATGTGGAATACGTGTGAGGTGTCTGCAAACCACTCAATCCCAGCCCACCGGCAAGTCAGTTACAATAGAAACGTAGGGAGTTTGTTGACAACCTAACAGCCAATAGATATTATTGGCTGATGTTTAGCTGGTCCCACCACGTCCACGGCTGATGGATTTTCATTCTTTTTTTCGGTCATCATAATTATAATGCTAGTTTGAACTTTCAGTGACAATTTGAAACAAAAACAAAAAATCCTCCATACAACCTTTAATACATGCATACTGTGGATAATTCATTCCAGGCAAAGCAATAACATCTCCATGGAAACGAGTAAAGCTACAGAGTGCGTAGTTAAGTCTCCTTTGTCTTTTCAGTGATCTCCCAGTGTAATGAACGGGTGCAGCACTACTATGACGGATTACTCAAGACTTGTGCACGCTGTCCTGAGAAATGCACGGATCAGAACGATGGGTGCCCTCGAAACTGCCTGAGTGAGTACAATTCTACATCATACTACAAATACTCATGTACAGTGTGTGCCCTGATGAACTACAATGTGTTCTAAACAACTGGATTTCAGCATTGTATGAGATTATCGGCACTCCACAATATCCAATCATGTTCCAGAATCATTAGAGATGCATATCACATCTTCACAGAGATCAAACCAGAGCAAGTTACAGGTCAGATCTGTGGAGAGGTGACCCCGCTCACAGTCAGGATGCCTGTTTTTGTAGGTATTTTTGAGCTATAAAACCACCTGCACTTTAATAAATGTAAGGTAGAGCTGTTTAAAGTCATATTGTGGAATATTCTAAGCAGAGCAGTGACATCTCCATAGAAACAAACAGGTGACGGACCTCCAACCAAAAAGCAGTAGTGGAAGAAGTATTCAATTTGTTACTTAAGTAAAATTACAGATGCTGAAGCAGAAAAATACACACGAAAAAATCTGCTCAAGTAAACGTCTTAAGCATAACGCATTCATTTAAATATGTACATCAAGAGAAAAACGTAAAAGTATTTCCCAGATTTTGAGGTCTTATAGGGCTTCAAAATATTGATTTTGATACAGATTTGTGTTGAATGTTCTACAACAGAAACAATTCAATCAAAAGTTTTTATTTGTATATTTTTGGCAAAAAAATTAATCTGAGCTTCAGCGTTGGTTGGAGGAGGACAGGAAAAGGGCCGGGCTGCCTGGTGGAGGGAGGAAGAAAGCGAGTGAGGAGCTTGAGCTAAACATGCGGGAATATGGGTTATCAGCAAACGAGCACGCCACGAGAGAGTGCCCCGCAAAATGATCAGGAAGATGGCAAAACAAATGTGAGTGATATCAGAGATGAGGAGTTTGCCGCGAGTGCTGGCAGGAATCATGCTGACAAGGTAGGCAAAAGTAGGCCATCGTATAACGGCGACGTCTCCTACGATGGTTTTTACATAAAAAAACGTAAATTATAGTCATACTGGTTAAAAGAATTTGAGTACCATATTTTCCCAGGTTTCCAAATTGCTGCCCGGTCTCAAATTAATGCCTGGTCTGTTAAGTGATTGAAACAAATAAACACCCCGGCTATTATTTGGTATTTTACAGTATACAGATTTTAAAGTGGAGACTTTTTACTTTTACTTCATTACATCTAAGAGCAGGTATCTGTACTTTCTACTCCTCTACATTTAACCTTTTTTATTAAGGCTTATTTGTAACATGTTCATAGTTTGAGCAAATAAATATAAACAAATAAAAACAGGGAAAAAAGACACAATTCTGCACAAATTGGTATCAAAATCACTACATTTGATACTTTAAGACCTCAGAATCTGCACAAAATACTTTTACGTTTGACTTTCCAAGTGCATCCTTAAACTGGTATGTGATACTTTTATTTTTACTAGTATATATAGTATATATATATATATATATATATATATATATATATATATATAAAAAATTTTTTTTTTTGCCCTGATATTTGTACTTTTACTTAAGTATCAACCACTGTTTAAATGACACATTTACATAACAAATACACGAACCATGAAAATAGCAAACGATGAGTGAAATGAAAGTTCTTTGTGTGTCCTGTGTGGCAAAGGGCAAAGGGCAAAAGGTGAAGCAAGATGAAGCAAAGCCGACAATCCAAAATTACCAAAAAATAAACACATCATGACAAAAAAAATATAAAGTAACAATAACAGATTATCATTTTCATCCTTCAGTGCTACCTTTAAAAATGTAATGTTTTCAAGTAGAGCTATTTTAAGCCAGTAGGGGGAGTCAAGAGGCAATTTTTTCTTAGGCAAAGTACATGGATTTAACTCAGCTGTACCTCAAATGAATTTATGTTGTGACAAGCCAAACGTTGTTGGTCATGTTTGTGAATGTGCGTGTGAATAGGTGAGTGGTTCCTTGATGTGCTTTGAGGTCGAAAAGTGTTAGATATAAATATGACTGTTTCATTTTAACATGTTGATAGGGAGGGGAAAAAAGACAAAATTCCGCACAAATCTGTATCAAAATCACTACATTTGACGCTTTTTTACTCTTCAAGTATATTTTTAAACAGGTACTTTAACATTCACTTAATTACTCTTTCTCAATCTTTTTCATGTGATACTTTTACTTAACTTTATTTATTTATTTATTTTGCTCAGGTATTTGTACTTTTACTTAAGTATCAAAACGGAGTACTTCCTCCACCACTGTTTAAATGACACATTTACAGATCAAATACACAAACCATGAAAATAGCAAATGATGAGCAAAATGAAAGTTCCTTGTGTGTCCTCTTTTAAATAGGAAAAGGGCAAAAAGTGAAGAAAGGTAAAGCAAAGCTGACAATCTAAAATTACTAAAAAAAATAAAGGCATCATAACAAAAGTAGAACTTTTTAAGCCAGTAGGGGGAGTCAAGAGGCAAATTTTTTCCTTCGGCAAAGTATATGGGTTAATTCCGTTGTACCTCAAATGAATTAATGTTGTGACGAGCTAAACGTTGTTGGTAATGTTTGTGAATGTGCGTGTGAATGGGTGAGCGGTTCCTTGATGTGCTTTGAGGTCTTTGATGGTAGAAAAGTGTTAGATATAAAAAATGACCATTTAAAACCTTTCTTTGTTCAACCAATGGGAATTTATTTTTTGTTTTTCTTGAAAGACTAAAGCAATAGCCACATTTATCACCATGAGCCTTCAGGACCATCTTATAACCATCTTATTTGGATAAATGCATGTTTGAGGACGGTAAATCTGTATTGTCCTGCATTTGTGTCTTGAGTTCTGAGAAAATGTCTGTTTTCACCTACCCCCTATGTCCGCCCACTTCCTTATGCTCAGATGCTATTAATAAAAAAAAGAAAAGAAAAGGATATGGTTAAAATATAAATCTGCTTCTGTGAAATGCTCCGATCAGGCCTGCAGTGTGAAACAAGAAATCGATGGTTTCTATGATTAAGACACTTCAGATCAATACTGCGTTTTACAGTGAACAAAACAAAATGTATTTTTCTTTTTCTTAATTCATGTTTATACACGTTTAATAATTTCACTATATTCATTTCATCCTCCCACAGAAAGGACGACAACTGCTGCTGCCAGAAGAATGACACTGCCCCCTGCTGGCGCCAACGCACACAGCACCCTGGACCCTAACATCGTGCTCTACCCAAGTACTGATTCAGAACACACAAACACAAACACACACAGATGCTTTTTTGTGTGTGTGAAAGACTGTCTGTTTTCACCTACCCCCTATGTCCGCCCACTCCCCTGTACTCAGTTGCAATCAATTACAATTAAGACAATTCAGATCAATACTGCGTTTTATGGTGAACAAATACGTAATGTCTTTATTTTTCTTTTATTTATGTTTGAAATCAGCTGCCCTCCCCTATGAGCTCAAAAAATGTCCAAAAATTTCTAAAATGACCAAATGAAAGAATCGAAAATTTTAGCTCAATCCCTTCAGTCGTTTCTGAGTTATGGTCTGTTGAAATTTTGGGGCCATGCTCACTTTTTTGGAAGCCTACATTTATAATGTTTGAGAGACCATAACTTCATACAAAATAGAGCTAGGAAGCTGAAATTATTATTGTAGATTCTTGGTCATAGATTCTAAATCTGTTGTCAAATATTTGGTTTCTTTATTAAGGGGGGAAGCTATGGGCTCCCAAAATCTCACATTTGGTTGCCGATCATTTTTTATTTTTTTTGAGGTCCAAGAGCTATTTACTCCAAACAGATATTTATAAACTAATTGTTGAACCTGAATATTTGAGAGAATAACAATTTCTGACAACAATCTCACACTTTTCTGAGATTTCATGTGGATGGTGTAGAGTCCCAAATAAGGTCACAGACCAAATGTGACCTTTTTGGCCCCTTCTTTGGACCCTTGGTTCCACATGTGGGCAGTTAGATGTTGATAAAATTTTTACCAGAGAAACTTTGGCATATTCTGATTAGTTTAAAGTAATAAAAACATCTACTATTAACTTCCTTCATTTCAAACGGAATCTTTGAAAATGGGATCACAGGTCATTTTTGGTGGGGCTTAGGTACTTTTCCACCTGCTAGAAAGGTTCAATTACATTTAATAGACTTAAACACTAGTTGCTTGTTATAAGGGAAGACAATTGGAGATTATCTGTGGTACATTGCTTGTGATTGTATTGGTGGCACAATAAAACACTCAGCTGCAAGGGACAGTCTTCAGGCAATTTTAGATTCTTTCATTTGGTGATTTTAGAAATATTTTGAAATGTTTTAAATCAAATCTGAGATGGCTCATAGGGGATTCCTTGAAAATGGCTGATTTCATATGGACTGACCCAATATTCATTTAATCTTCATCCTTACACAGAGAGGACTACCACTGCTGCTGCCAGAAGAATAATAACTAAACCTGTCCAGACACTGCCCCCTACTGGCGTGACCACACACAACACCGTGGACCCGGGCACCTTGGTCCCTGACATCCTGCTCTACTCTTTCTGGGCTCTTTGTTCAGTGCTAGTGCTGACCAGCCTGGCTGTAGCACTGAGGGTCATTCTGAAGGAGACAAAGTCCAGATCAGCCAAGACTGGAGATAAACGAGCTCAAGTTGCTCTGAACATGGATATGGTTCTACCACAAGAAGGTTGGGATTCAAAAAGTAGCATTCTAATATTTCTTTCTTTGTAATAAATGTGTAACAATATGCTAATCTCAGAGAAGACATTTATTAGTGTTTTGTAATAAACTTAAAGGCGCAGTATCTAATTTGGGTTTAGTAGGTTAAAGATTTAAAAAAGTCAATTATTTTATGATTTCTCATTTTTACACGTTTTAACAGGTCAACACTGCCCTCTCCTGTTGTTTTCCAGAAACGCAGCTCAGATGTGATCCCTCAGACTGCTCCATTCCCACTGAGAACTGCGTGTGTGTGCATTGCTTCCCTGATCTGAAAAGCATGGACCAGGACTGTCCAATCATAGTGGCTCGTTCAAACCAAGAGACGGCGCCGGAGGTTCAGCATGCAGGAGATGAATGGGCTGGCAGGGACATCTACACTTCAGGCTCAAATTTGCTTCATGTGGGAGCCGTGGGCTGGAGTGACTGCATATATTCAATACATAATGATGGGTGTCAGTGAGTTCTTACTGAAGGAATAAAAGGATAAAATGCAACTACAAAAGGTTTATTATTATCAGTGGACAATATGTACTGTCAAAACCTGGGCCTTCCTCTTCAGAGTACAAATATTCAATAGAAACATTTGAGTTCATATGAACCTACAAAACATCCAAACTACAGGAGAGCTGAAGGAGACACCATGTGACATGTTGGAGTTTGTTTTATTCGAGTGTTTTTCACACGATCCAGTTCTTGCAGCAGTTACATGTGAGGAATGATGACCAGACCAAACTATTGAGGTTTCACCATAGTCTCGAACATACAAATGTACATATTACATACATACATGTGAACAGTCCATCAAACTGTGATACCAGCTCAGACGGCATGCTTAATGCAAGTACTGATTCAGTACACCACATAGGACATACGCACGTGCACACTCACGTGCATACTCACTGCATACTCACCATACACACACACACACACGCACACACACAGTAGATAGAGCGACATGCGGCACACTGACACTGCAGGAGCAGCTCACACTCCACTGACAACAGCCTGTAGTTTACCTGAAAGAGTTAACCAACATGTGAAACATGGACACCACAACCATGAGGGTGAAACCAGACAAAAGAACAGCCAACAGCTGAACACAGAATGTGCACTTTTTTGCTGTGGTGTAGAAAAAGAATGAGCGCACTATGCAACACAAACAACACTGAGTGTAAGAATGGACAAACAAGTAGGTACAGTATGTAGAAAAATAGATTTCCTCCATTCCTCCTTCAGGACTGTGAAGTACGAGGGACACAAAGAAAAGTATCTACAGTCGTGACTCACATCAGTAACAAAACGCTGGCACATTGTCCATGAAGAAGAATCAGAACGCGTTGCATTGAGATCAGAATACACAATGACATTATTTTGACTTGACATATTTGGTCATGGTGCGTTGCGCAAACATGTAGAGTAGGAGTGTGCTTAGTGACAGGTGCAGAGCGACAGGTGAAAGCAGCTCTCACACAGTCACACCTCAGTCCTCCAGGAGAAGTCCAGATTCACAGTTGAATGTTGCAGATGTGTCTGCAGTGTAGAGCCACAGTCTGGGCCTGAGCCTGTACATGATACTGGACTGTACACTCAGTCGTACACTAAGGGCTTTTCCTTATGTCCCATGCACATGGAGCAAAGTCCGGCCTCTCCAGGGCTCTTACTCGTACTCTAGGAACTGCTTGTGGTAGAACAGCAGATACCTGAGAACACAGAGGAACACCAAGTCAGATGCCCTTCTACACATACAGTGACATACATTTACAGTGGAGCTCACCCCTCACTGTCCAGGACGTCCTTGATGCTGGCCTTAGTGATGATGGCATCATCACATTTGAACCACTGGTCCTTGTGCTGCCTTATGAAGGTCGTGTAGTGACCGCTCTCTAGTGTACCCTGGTGGTTTACCACTGCAAACAGGCTGTACCTAATGGAGAGCACAACAGTCGATTGAGTTCAGCTAAAATCTATCTACCTTAAGAGGAGAGACATCCATGCTAAATTATAATTATATCAAGTCTAGTATCCCTTGAAAAAAGAACCAGCTTCTGTTCTAATAACAAAAAATACAGTGTCATTACCTTCCACTTAGTTTGTACATAGATGTTTCATCTTGTTTTCTCTGACACAATCTTTCTGCCTTTATTTTCTACTAATTAAAAATTATGTGAAAGTTTGTAGTGAAATACCTATATTCTTCTTTTATTTGTGTTGAAGTTGAAAAATTGTCAGATATTTTGGTTAAAGATGGGGTATTACACTTCTATGGGGTATTCATTAACTACCAACATATAACATTTAGATCACGTTTTATTGTTTGAAAATGCTATATTCTCAAAAAAAGAAACAAGTTTTAGTATGAGTTTTAGTCACTCCCCCTTCAGAGCACTATCACAAGACAATCAGCGTGCATCCCGCTAATGAAACTACTGCACATCAGAGTTGTAGTGTATTGTTTTGTATCATGCTTTTGTATATCTATAGAAAAGTCTGACAGAATCGCATTGCTTACCGAAAGGAAAAAACATAACATAACATAACATGATAAAAAGCTCCAAAAAGTGGATGAAACTTAAAACATACCATGCTGTTTCTAAGTTTACAGTATTTGTCATTACACAATACCAGTGGTGGAAAGCAACAAAGTACAAATGTAGAAGTACATATTTAATGTATCTGTACTTTACTTATGTAATTTTAATGTGGCTACTTCTTATTTTTATTTCACTACACTTGAGAACGTGTATCTGTACTTCATTTTAGACATCCCTACTTTGAGCAAACCAAATACACAAAAGCGGCTAGAAAATTAAAATCAGTACTAGGTTAGTTCTGGTTTACTCTTGGTTCAGTCCTTGGTGTATGCAGCTCAGAAGTTTGATATAATGTCGGGTTGACAGGCGGGTGTGGTGTTGTACTGCACGGGTGCAGGTCTCCAAAAATGGGCCCATGCAGAACTCTGCGCTGTAGGGCTCCATTACGGAATAACTGCATCTTCGGTTTGTTACATAAAAGAGGAAAATAACAAAAGGATGACAGCAGCAATAAGTTTTCAGAAGGATGCAAAAAGAGTTGTAACTGTCCTGTGTGAGAAAAGTGTATAAAGTGTGTGCTGAGGGGTTTACAGCCTTAAAACAGATATAATCATTGTAAAATATAAAGCTGATTACTTCGTGGATTTCAACTATCGCGGGTTATTTTTAGAACGTAACTCCCGCGATAAACGAGGGACCACTGTAAATCAAATCTGCCAAATTATTTATTAAAATCACTACATTTGATGCTTTAATTGTTTGAAAAATCTCTGCAAAATACTTTTTACTCTTAAAGTACATTTTTAAGCAGGCATTTTAATACTTTTAGATTTTTTCATGGGATAATGTTAAACTATTGTATCTATACTTTAAGTAACAACCACGGCACAATATTGTATTTGAATATAAGTTGGATAATTGTACACACTTGTTATCATTGTTGAATGGGTCCACAGTCTGCTGATACTGCCCGTTCATCCGGCTCTCTTTACTGTGACAAAAATACAAGAGTTTTACTTCAAGCCACAACAGAAACGCGTGCGTGGCGTCAAGTAGCGTGCTCACCTGGACGCCATGAACGGAGTCATGTCCAGCTCTAAGGGGAAAGACACGTACGTTGTGATCTTCCGCCGAAGTTTGGCCGAATGCTCAAATCTCTGCGCACACAAACACAAGGACATTGTAGGTTAATGTTAAACTTATCACAGAAAATACTTTGCTTTATAAAGTAATGTGAAGGGATGGGACAAGACACAATTTCCATAAGACAAGACACGAGACACTAAGAGACTCTGATATCATTTCTAATAGGTAAATAGTGCGATTTAGTTCACAAAGTTGGCTTCAGAATTTGATTTAATTCAGTGAGTATATTTGTTGCCATTGTTCCAAAAGTCACTGCTAGAATGACTTCTCAGAAGGTGCAACTCGCCAGCTCTTACCTCTTTTTTGTCTAATCCAAATGAGAAATAAAAGCTCAGGAGATTATTTTTCTCATGTTTACAGTCTTATGGCAATTTTTTCTCATGAGATCTTGTCCCATCCCTACTAAACCAGGATAAAAACAGGACTAAACTATCATTTTACTACCAGGCATTAATAGTGAGACACAAAGTATAAACCAGGACTAAACGATATATATGGAACCAGGACTCAACTAGGGCTATACAAGGATGTTTTGGAATCAGGATATAACTAAGACTGAAATAAACTATTCCAGATCAAGACTATGATTAAACCAGGACTAAACCATGATTAATCCAGGCCTGAATCAGGTCTAAATATTTCTAAATTAAGAGTAATGCAGGATATTACCCAGCCTTAAAGCAGACCTAGACCAGGACTAGACCAAACCAGGTGTAAAACCAGGCTAAATTATGAATAAACCCAAACTAAACCAGGACTAAACCAGATCTAAACTCATACTAAAGCAGGGCTAAATGAATATTCTGGATTAGCCTTATTTTACAATGCAAAGTCTCAAACTAGAACTAGACCATTCCAGGACTAAAACGGGTATAAAACAAGACTAAAGTCATATCATATCTACTCCGGTTTGAGTGTTACAGACTGATGGTGAGAAAGGCTACGCACTTTGAGATGAAAGCAGGCCACGATGGGCAGCTTCTTCATGGTCAGCTGCTTGGTGGATTCCTGGTAACTATGGCAACCGCTGCACTTGATCTTTGCGCTGCTGCCGAGGTGCTCTGGCCGGGTGAACCTGAACACAACCAACATTCTGGGTCACTGGATACAAGAAGACAATCTCGTTTAAAGCAAGTACATTTTTTTGTTGTTGTTGTTTTGTTTCTTTGATAACTTGAGGGGGAGGAGGAGTGGGTTCTGGAGCGCTAAAGGGGAGAGAGAAGGGGAAGGAGAGATGGTGTCTGGAGGACTAAAGGGGAGAGTGAGGGAAGAGGAAGTATGTGGTCTCTGCTTTTATGTTAATGATCCAATGTGAGAGAAACCTGATACATGCACAGAAATAAAACTTGACTGACTTACTGGAAAATGCTTAGTCTGATCAAATATACCCTCTGGTGACCCGTGCTCTACCTGCGCAGACAGTCTGTGAGGGTGGTGGCTCCGCTGGTGTGGCTCTCTCCGTTCAGAGCGGCTCCGTCTCCCCCAGGGCTCAAGGGCCAGAAGGGCGTGGACGAGCCGGGCAGGTCCAGACTGATGTCCCAGAACGGGTCTATGGTGGTGGACACGCCGCTGCAGCACACAAAAGCACGCATATTGGGTTTCTGGGACATTACACTGACTTGCATTTTTTTTCATGGAGACTGAGCCAAAGCTTAACCCTAGTAACAATGTGCCCAACCTTAACCAATATCATAAACATAACCTATTTCAACCCACATCTGAAATTTTTATATCACATCATGCATCATTCAGTTCTATAGTTAATGGCCTTTAAACATACTCAGAAGTAACTTTGTGCCATCAAGTTTTAGAACTTAAAATAATGCATATGTATTGAAAGGACACATTACTTTCCATCAGTATCTAATGTTGGCACACCATCTACTGGTAGCAGTGGGAATTACCATGAAACTAAAGCAAGTCATTAAGCAACATGGAGTCTAAGTTAATAGTATAGCCCAGGTGAAAAGGGTCCCAAAGTAGGGCCGGGACCACCTCCTCGGGGGCCCCACAATCATTACAATATAATGCATTTAATATGAGATAAGGCTCCAGGTTATTTTGTTCAGAAAAAGTCCTGCCCCGAGATTGAAAAGGTTAAGAACCCCTGGTATAGAATAATGTAGTATACTAAATAGTGAATACTAAAATAAACTAAACTGTATACTAAAAAAAAAAAAGAATACAGTTGTAGTGAACACAATTTGACTGCAGTATAGTGTTGTCAAGATACTAATATTTTAAACTCAATTTTGTTACTAAGGACTAGACTCACTTTTAGGGGTGTAACGATATCCAAGTCTCACGATACAATATTGTCACAGTATGAACCACACAGTACAATATTTATTACGATATCGTGGGGAAAGCTCACAATATGGTGGGGAGGCTCATGGTTCATTAGGGATGTAACAATATCTAAAACTCTCGTACGATATTTTCACGAATTACATCTCAGAGTATGATATTTATTGCGATATTTTGTGGAGGCCAACAAAACTGTTAATATGCTACTTTTTCTCTTAAAATGCCTTGACAAAGAACTAAAGACTTAAAAGTGCTTAGAATTGTTATTTCTTCATGTAGTCTACACTGAAATGGCGCAAAGGATCATGGTCTATGTAGTTCCCACTGTCTAACTCTTAATTTAAGCAAATCTACATTGTTATCAAATTAGGCATTTAAATCAACAGATTAATTATTGCAGATTACTTCAAAACATCCTTACAAGCTCCTTCAGGTGGTACACAGTCCTCTCTTTTCTGTATTATGAGTCTCTTTAATACATATTTTTATCCTCCTTTGGATTAATCCTTGTTTGGAACTAGGACAGCAATTGTGTATAAAAAATGTGCTGTTAGGACACTAGGAATTCGATGCAATTGCAATTCGACATATTGTGAGAAATTTGACGATATGATATCACGATATTTCAGTTATTGTTACGTCCCTACTCGCTACTCGTGCCAATTCTGATACAAAGTCTTCATTTAGATAACAGAATGTGATTTTCAACATTAAATTATATTACTTTCTTTTATATTACCATGCGGCCTTATATCTCTACTATAATCTTTCAGTGGTATTTGTAAGTTCCATAATGGTTCATACTTGTTTTTATAAAAGGTAAAGCTAAAGGTATTCACTAAAGGTTCATTTCTGTCCTGTGAAAATGACTCTTTTAGCTCCTCCTTTCAATACTATTTTCAGTATCGATTAGTATCCAATTTTCAATACTTTTGACAGCCCTACTTCGGAAACTCTTACAACAAGTTTGATGATGATTTAGGCACTTAAAAACTTTGCAGTAGTCTGTCTGGATTTCTGTCTGATGCCACAATCCAGGAAAATTTGAAGGAGTGATTTCTGAGGCTCAAAGCGCAAAGAGCACCTCATAAACAGGATTAATAAAACAAGTGGGTGGAACTTTAATGTAGTCGGCAATGGCCCAGGAGGGTTGTTCTATTATGTTAGCTTTCATATTGCTATGGCAGATCTCTATGGATGTCGCTGCCTGTTGAACTTGAACGTGAATAAAGCTATAGATACGTCTAGCAGAACTGTCGAAGCAGAGCATAAAAGATTGCGCTATAAAACTCGCGGCAATGATAAAAGATCGAGCTATAAAACTTATAGCAGTAATAATATAGACCATGACAGATTTTGGACAACCATCCAACAAAACTAGTGTCAACTGTTGAGAAGACAGGCTTTTTTTTTTCTCTTTTTTTTCCCCATCAGCTACATTGGGATCAAACTGGGTATTTAAATCAACAAATTAATTACTGCACATTACTTCAAACTGCAAGCTCCTTCAGGTGGTACACATAGTCCTCTGTTTTCTGAATTATGAGTCAATTTTGTCCTCCTTTGGGTTAGTCTTTTGTTGGAACTAGGACAGCAGTTGTGTAAAAAATGTGCTTTTAGCTTACTAGTTGTTGGCAGCTTTACCCTGATGCCAAAACTACGCTCTGAAAGTTGTGTAAAGACCTTATAAACTCATTGTGGTGAATAATTAGGACGCTAGAAATGCTTAACGTAAGTGAGAAATAACTTTGGACCGCTGCAAACTGTTTAAAATGAACTACTTCTGTTCAACATGAGCTTTCAAAGTCAATTATGTCCAGAATTGATCTTTTTAAACATGTGGCTTGTGTAGCCAGCAGGTGGAGCTATAGTTCTCCTTGAGACTATTGCTGCAGTGTTGCTAATGTGGCTGTGATTGATGGTGCAGTCTGCGCTCCAAAGCAGGCCCTGTACTGGAGTTCACCTCAGGCCAGAGAATTACCAACTTTCTGATCGCCACAACGAACTCTTTCTCTTACAAGGGATTTGTGGTAAAAGCCGAGTAAGCTGGCAAACCCAAGACGCAGCAGTATTGTGAAGTAGTTTCCTGTGATATTTGAGAACTGTGTGGCGTAGGTTGAATTAGAATAATAGTGGGAATTGTTCAAAGGGGGCTGTTAGGCAATATTTAAACTGCAGAAAATGAAATATGGCAGATTATCATGTACAAACCTGAGCAGAGATGGTTACTCTATTCACAAAGTTAGATAAATGAAACGTACACGCAACTTTTGGATTCTGCCGGCATGGGGAGGTCATTGCTTTGCCCGGAATGCTCTACAGTCTGGCATTCAACTAATCTATTCTAGTTTTTGATTTCAAGAAACTTTACAAAACATGCATTGTCATTTTACTGTTAGAAAAGCAATAACATCTCCGAGATGAGAAGAGACGACGATGTACACTCTTCCTGAAAATGTAAATAGTAAAATTGGAGAATGAAGCACAGAGCAGTGGGCTGATTGTTGATAGAAGCAATGATGTTTTGAATATAGAAATGTAAAGATCACGCTAAATACAACTTCGAGATGGAAAATGAGAAATCTAAACAACTATAACCAAAAGTCGATTTGCATAATAGTGTGACAAAAATCGACAAAACCCCAAATAATTGCCAAAACCAAGCTTTTTGAATCACTGAAGGTGCACCACCTTTTATATTCTCTATAGAAAGTGATGTAATGATGTTCAAATCCCGCAATACAATATTTTCACGATATGCGTCTCATGGTACGATACTGATTGTGATATTTTGGAGGCCAACTGAACTGTTAATATAGAGTGCCCCAAAAATTTGACATCATTTCAAAGGCCAATACTGTAATTTTGGCAATCTTTGTTGAAATAACCTCAAATTTTCACAGAATGTATAGTAACAGATCAAGATGTTATATTTAATGTTTTATTTTTGTTCTATTTTCAGGTTGAGCCATGCCGTTCACTCCCAAAGAGAAGTCATTTTGCGTCTTAGAATATGCTCGCACACAGTCACCCAAGACTGTGCAGCGTGCCTTCAGTGCACAATTTGGAAAAAAATCACTAACAAATTTGGACTTGATGCAAAAAATGTAAAGAGCAAGGCTGGTTATGCGGGGCTAAAGGACCTGATAGACCAACATCAACATCTTCATGGAGCTAGATGTAGTAGTTTTCAAGATAAGTGCTTATAAAATTTTGTCAAATTTTTTGGGACACACTGTACTACTTTTTCCTTTTAAAATGTCTTGACAATAATTTGGTTCTGTCATAACTCAAAGAAACAAGACTTAAAAGTGTTTCATAACATCATTTCTTCATGTTGTCTGTGGTGAAAGCAAAGGATCATGGTCTATGTATTTTAGTTGATGCTGCGCCATAAAAATGAATTTAAGCAAAGAGACTTGTAAATCGTCACATTGTGATGGTCCATAAAATTGACAAAATGATATCACAATATTTCGATGATTGTTACATCCCTAATTGCAATATCGCTCCTGCATGAGTTGGGCTTTCTTCTCTAGTTTTGCTGCACTGTTGTAAAGGCTCTTACTGGCACACTTGGCAGGTGACGTCAGACTGCAGGCCCCCGGTGAAGATTTGGTCGATGATGCAGTTACAGTGGTTGGGGTTGTTGGCCTTTTTGCCGTTGTCATCTGTGCAGGGAAAAACAAGACAGTCACGCCGTGTTAACTTTCTCTGCACACGGACACACAGCTCTTCTATCTGACAGGTGCAGGAAACTAGCTGTGTCGAGGGCAATTTCTCATACAGGTGTCAATACCGAAAACGTTTACCAAGATACTGAGATTTTTCAGAAACAAAAAGCGAACAAAAAGATGCAAACAAAGTGACAGGTGGGAAAGATTTGACTATTTTCACTATTCATTGTAATGCGTAACTGTAATTTCCCCAGATATCGGCATAGGTCCGATATCGAAAATTTTGCTGATGACAATATTTTCCCTGCACTGCCTCAGTCTGTGTGTTCAGTACCTGTCCATTCAGAACCACATGCTTTGATAAAACTTTACAAAGATGAGATCTGGAGCCGTATTCTGTCTCCCTGATTTCAGAGGGCGTGATTGACAGGTGGATTAACCAATCAGAGACACCCATAATCTGAGTCAAAAACAAACATGGCTGCTATCGTGTAAATAGGAGGGAAGGTTAAGTTAAAAAAGACTGAGAAACAGTGTAGATTTTTGCTGAATTGCCAATCGAAGCATCACACTCTTATTTAACTTAAAATCATGCATTATCTTCTGAATAAGGATTTTCACGCTTTATGGTCCAGTTCCAGTACCTCTGGATTTAAACAGACTGCAGAAGGAACTGGCTGCTAAGGCAAATTCTTGTGTCAGTCCCAGTTTGTCCTCAGTGCATCAGATTTGTAAAAATAAATGTATCTGGTAAATTAATTCATATTTTACAATTCAAACACAAGTGCCAAGTTCATTTGTAAACTTCGTTATGACATAAATTTGAGCTGTACTATAGTTGTTAAAGGCTTTATGTCAGTTATTGGCCAGACAAATATCGGATATTGGCATTGGCTCAAAAATTCCATATTTTTTCATCCCTAGCTTGAACAATATGCTAATCCTGCCACACCACAAAACTAACGAATTATATAAGATCTGCCATTTTCAGGGTTATAGTGTTGTTACATAATCAAAAACATACCTCAATCTGTGCTTTGTTTCAGTTGTGCATGTTTGGGATAATCCTGTATGCAACCCGTTGTTCTACTACTCTAGTACCTATTGTACTTTGACTTCCCTCCCCGGCATTCAAACTCTCCCCTTTTCTACACAGCTTATCAACTTTTGTGCACACAGGCTTTCAGTTAGATGCAATTGCTGCACTAAACAATAACCCAGACAGACAGTAGATGGGAGTCCTTGCACCCTCGGATTGTGTTTTGTATTTGACTTGTGTACAAAGGCTTGAATACTGCACTATTAAAAGGTCCTGTATTGGACCAAATTGACTCTTGTGAGTGTTATAATGTTGACAACTTGGAGTTGTGTTTTGTTTCATTCACACGTGTTTGTGTAACCCTTTATCACTAAATCTGTCTAATCCATGTATCATTCCTTTTTCAAAATAAAACCAACACTTTTCTTCATTATTTAACTCCAAAACCAAAACGAGAAAACTGGTAACAATTAGTTTCCCGTTTCTGTGACTTAAACTAACTACATATGGACTGAACCAGGACTAAACCAAGATTAGCCCGGAGGTGTGCCCATGTAGACTGTCGGGTGATCAGGACTGAGACCCGGGACTGAGACCCGGGACTGAGACCGGGACTGAGACCGGGACTGAGACCGGGACTGAGACCGGGACTGAGACCAGTTTAGTCGTGGTTTAGACCTGTTTTAGACCTGTTTTAGACCTGTTTTAGACCTGTTTTAGACCTGTTTTAGTCCTGGTTCAGTCCTGGTTCAGACCTCGTTTAGTCCCATTTTAATTCTGGTTCAGTTCTGGGTCAGTCTGTATGTGGTGCAAAAGTCTGGCATTGCAGTTTAAGTCACAGGCCGATATCTGTTTTTTCCATTATTAATTTAAACACAAAACTCGAAAACTGAAAAAAACATTTTTATTTTTTTGTGGATCTGGAGACAAATAATTTAAAAAAATTGTTGTTTTTTCATTCTCTTATTTTTGATTTTATTTTGAAAAACGAAAGAACAAACGATACACTGATTCTGTCTACATCTCCAAAGATCAAAATAATCTGTTCCACCTTGTGATGTCATGAAATGATAGTTTTAAGGTTAACAGCCACCTTGCCCTTTTTGTTCAGTATTGGCAGTTCCAGTACTGAAATGATCCAAATGGAGTGTATGTAAATTATGAAGAAAACATCTCTCACAAAACAGCATAACAAGGACCCTTTAACAGAATTTCATATCTTCAGATGAAAAACAAATTGTAATTCAAATGGTGCACTGTCCAAATTTTATGATGGAAGGTCATCTGCTTGTCTCTATGGAAATCCTATCGCTGAAATGTCCCATAGTGTGGCATTAAACATCTATCTCAAGCCCCTGTAATTGAATAAATGCAAGTAATATAGGTTTTTTTATTACCGTGGAACATTTCAGGCAAGGGAATAACCTCCACGGATACAAGCAGGTAACTGACACTCCCCCCAAAAAGTTACACAGTGCGCCTTTCATTTTTTGCCATGTGCATACTGCTTCAGCTGATATTGTAAAAATATATAATAGTGTGTATAGTAGTATGACTCGACCTTTGCAATGGCGGTGGAGCACATCCAGCGCCGCGATGAGGAACTCGTGGGCATCCTGCTGTTCGTAGCCGGCCAGGTGACGGGCGTGGGTCCACACCAGGTGCAGCAGCCGGAACGGGATGTGAGGCGAGCGGTGCCCTGAGTAGAACTGGCACAACACGGACATCCAATGTAAAGGATATTATACATTACATTTCACAAATACAAAGCTTTTCATTATTCAGGACAGACGAAAAGCTTTTGCATCTCTGTCTTTGGTGTTAGATTTTGGAATGATTTGTGCCTAGATCTGAAATTCTGAAATGCAAAAGAAATGGTACTGATGAAAATAGTGAAAAGTGCTAATACTCTTTCTTTTCCTCTTCCGTTAATAGTCCATGTAAACTAATGTGTAAAAGAAAACTGAAAAATGTAAGTTATAATTAGGAAAGGGGGTAGGATTAAATAAATTCTACTCCTTCTCACTCCTTTTAAGTCATGTAAACTTACTTACTCTGGCCTTTGCATGTCCATCTATCATTTTGATACTCTAGTGATGTTATTATTTGTGACATGATTTCTATTTTATAGTGTACATGTTTTTTTCCAAATTTTTTTATTGAACACTTTTAACATAACCAGAAAAACAGAGTGCACTGTATTGAATAGTGCTAATACAGGTATGACAGTAGTACATAAGGAGACATGTGAATATCACCTCCGCTCCCCAACCACTGTCTGAAACATACCAAAATAAAAATAAATAAATGATAAAGTAAAAAAAAAAAAAAAAAAAAAAAAAAAAAAAAGTAGTAATAGATATTGTATATTTATTTAATTAATAAAAAAAACTAAACAAAAAAACACAGGGATGCGAAAGGAGGAAAAGAGCTTAATTCATCTGTCTTTTCTAGTAGACATGTAATGATAACACATTTGGAAGTTCATGTTTTGAATTCTGAAGTACACATTTATATAAAATATTTTTGCAACTTATTATTACCATTTATATTTTTTCCCTTTGTTATTACTTGTTGATCAATAAAATCTAAGTGTGATATATTGTACAATAAAAGGATCATACTGGATGCCATTATTTGAACTGATACAATAACCCTAAAGCAGGATGTACCCCACAAAAATACTGTACGTATATAATATTTAACAGTCTTGCTAATGAACATGAGCTGCATTTAATAAATGAAAAAGTCATTGCACTGATACCAATATCTGGAGTCAACCCTCTACAGTTCAGTTGTTTTATAAGTACCAATGGGAAACTTTTCATTTTTCAGTACTAAGAAAATACACAGTACACACAGTGACGGTGCCATTTCATCTATGTATTGAACAATAAGTTGATATGGTATTTACCCCAAATGGTAACTTCAGCTAGGTGGACATTTTCAATTGCTTTTCAAGCACTAAAGGAAAAATGTAGTGTGGTTGGGGGGACTTGTTGCCTTTGAATATGATACGATGAAGGGTTTATCTAGGTACATGGAGTTCAATAGTTTTGTTTTCTTGCAGAGAACACAAGACTTCAGAGCAGCACATCCCACGAATAAGCTGATACTATCCATGCCACTGCCATCTATGGTCAGTGTACTAAGAATCTGCTAACTAAAGAGCCTCTAACCATGGTTTTCATCAAATAATGTTACATCTGTCTTGCCCTAGTACAGCTATATTGTAAAAGCAGGGTCACAATGAGACATAATGTGAACCAGGAAGTAATACTGGTGCACTGCCATGATAATTTTTGTTAGCCGTAACATCACTCAAAAATCGAGACATTATGGTAAATAATTAGGGTGCTTACGGTGCTCAGAATGTCTTAGGACAATGAGGAATAAAGTTTGACTACTGTAAGCGATTATTAAAGACGATAAAAATCTGATACGGAGCCTTTAACAAGTACATACATACAAAATTGCACCCAGTAATAGCGGCTCTCCAGCAGCTCTCTATTCCCCAACCTTATTGTTAAAGCCATTTTAATACTCTATGCAGATATTCCAGAAGTCTCCTTTTACCTCTTGAAACAGCTGGGACATCTCGCACACCAGACACGAGTTGCTCTGCATTTCACACTTGTGCCGGTCAGACAGGAAGAAGTCTCTGAGCAGCGGCGTGTGGGTCAGCGCCTGGACGATGCAGTTCATGAAGCAGGTGTTCCCCAGATTTATGAGCCCACGCAGGCCTGCAGCAGCACATCACAAGACAACTATAAGCTCAACTGGCTAGTGCTTTTGTCCCGGATGCCGCAGTGTGGAGTAAAGCTGAATGACTTGGGAAAAATATCCAATTGTGATTTTTCTAACAGGCATTGCAGTTAGATTTGCAATTTATGTTTTAATAACAGGATACTATTCAAAGTAAAGCTGGGTATCATTAAGAAGTTACCGATACGATACAAACCTCAATACATAGGCAATGATTCGATTTTTCTACGCAGTGCACTTTCGATTCAATATATTTCAAATCGATTTAATACGGTTCAGTAAAAAACAAGGGCTAAATCATGGCTGTAATACTAAAAGTCTTAATTAACCACTAAGTTTGTGCAAAGTTAATATGAAAGACACCAATTTTACTCATGAAAACTTGAATATGTTAAATGTGCTCCATAAACAAGTTAACTTTCTCCAAACAAGCAACACAATTGTAGATCGCCCACAACATAATTTAGTAAAATATACCAAAAAATACTCTTGATACAGTATCGATACATTGAAATTAAATTAATCAACACCATATATTGATATATTTGTATTTTTATACAGATATTTCAATATTTTTGCAAACCCCTAATTCAAAGCTGACATTTTAAGCATGTCCAGAAGAGTTGACAAAATACTGAAAAATGAAATATCAAACTAACATAAGAATCATATTTCAGGACATGTTTGTACAGATCTAAACTACAGGTTTAGCAGTTGTTTTTTTTTTTGCTTTTTTAAATTTTTTTTATGTAGATTCGAGCAGCAATGTCATTTGTGGAAAAAATTAAGGTACTTTAAAAATGGCAGCCTTCGCGATTTGCAATTAATATTGTAAAATCGGTTCAATGCTGATAATTGGCCCCAATATTCTTTCTGCACTGTTCTCATCTTTGTTTGTCCATGTGGCATTCCCAGTTTATAGATGTGATGGACTGAGGACAACTTTGATTTGATATCCCAAATCTACATTTTCTTAATTTTAATTTTAAATGTTTAAAGAGGAAACAACTTTTTTACTTCAAAACTGTTGAACAATTGTGTTTTAATAGCAATGTCTACTGTTCCTAGTCCTTTTTTGGCAACTTTTGTACAAACTAGGTATATGTGTACTGTTTCAAGTACATGATGACATCACATATGACTGCCTTGATAACAGCCACACATTTTTGATCACAAATGCCTGACTGAATCACACTGTTCCGCATAAGTCCAGATTCCTCCAGGTACTGCCCAGTTTAGCAGCTCTCTCTGAAATGTGGTAGTGGGCAGTTTAAGTGTTTAGTCACACTTGAATATCGTTATCGGCAAATATTGGTTATTGCCGGCCACAACAACAACACAAATAGCGGGTCAAAATAAATCCTTATTGGACCATCACTAGCTGCAATCCTAAAGTAATACCCTAGTGGGCCCAGGGCAAACGATTGTCAGAATGCAGCGCAGCAAAACAGAGAAACAGAGTAGAGGATGCTGGGTAATTCTCACTCCCTCTAAATGGGACGGTGCCAGGGATGTTATTGGCCGAGGAGCAGCAGATCCCCACAGGCGCAGACAAGGTGTTAAACGTATGCTACAGTTTCACACCCACATGCTGTCTCACAACCACCGCTGCTGCTTCTGCTCGGAGAACCGCCTGGATTTGTCAGGCTGTCATAATATTTTTACTAAACCAATCTGCACCTTCTCTTTATAGCGTCTTATTAGTGTTCTTAATGCCACAATAAAAAGCGGGTTGGGTTCGCTGTAATTGCAATGCTGATTAAGCTGCGAGATTAGTTGTGAAAAGAGTGTACACGTAATAGATTATCTAACATGATTGAACACAAAAGAGTAAAAAGGTCCTAAATTAAACAAATGGAGTCTTGTGAGCTTTAAGCCATGTTAGAATGTTGTTACCGCCTCAAAAATCTGGTCTTGCATTTTGTTTCATTCATATGTGTTTGTGTATTGCTGCAAAGCTCTCAATTGTCTGTTGTGATGTCATGTACTAGTAATGGTAGTGGTAATTTAAGTTAACAGCTACCTTTTACCTTTTCTTCAGTAGAGATTGGATAATCCTGCTCTGGTATTTTTATCATAACAGACCCTTTAAACATGGCAATGTAGCAAAACTGTATGCCTCTTCCTCAACACATTTTGATATATGTGACCAACCATCTGACCTATTGTACAGTTAGAGGTGATTCTCCTCCTCTTGGGGTTATGCCGGAGCAGCTCCAGCTCCCTCTTTGTGGGCTCCCAGGTGGAGAATTTCTCTCCAATTCCTGGAACAAAAACAAGCACTAAATGAAAACGCAAGTACAAAAGCAAAGTTATGCTCACACGTCCAAGCCTTTGCAAATGTACAAGGCTAGCATGTTCAACGAGAATACAATATACCAAGGATTTTGTGTATAACCGCTTATTTGAATAAGAAGGAAAACAAAAACACTTTGAATACAGATTGCTTGTTGTTGGTACAAAATATTTGCAAGCAATAGGTGCTTAGATTGTTTTTTTCAGTGTTCTAACTTCAGGAAAACAATCTTTTATCATTAGATAAAACTCCAGCCCACAAGATCCTTAAAGATGCATTATGTAGCATTTCTGGTACAGTTTGTCTCCATGGAGATGTTACGGCTTTGTCTGAAATGTTCCACAGTAGGCAAGTTTTTGCCTTATATGAAACAACTAAGCATTCATTCTGAATGGGCACATCTCTCCACAGATCTGACCTGCAACTCTGCCTGGTGTTGTCACCAGCTGTGTCCATGGAGATAGATCAGTTCGATACCATACTGTGGAACATTCCACATAAAGCAATAACTTCTCCATGGAGACAAAAGGTGGCAAACCAACCAGCAGAAAAGACAGTGCAATTTCAACTCACATAATTGTTATTAATTGATAATTTACCCCATAGCTTTAAAAGATCAGTTTCAATGTAAACTTTGTACCATTATATGTAGGGATGCACAGAGATCTCAGCCCGGTATCAGTATCGATTAGTACACATGACTGAGTAACAGAGGAATTGGTCAAAAACACCAATAACAGTTGGCTGATACATGCTCTGGTAATGTATATAAGTAGCGGTATATACATTTTAGAAAAAAACATTCTAAAAAGGCAACTTTATAGCAATATTTCTTTATTCACAATATACTAATGTGGAATCTTGCGAGCTTCTACCCATGTTACAATGTTGTTGCCTCATCAGAAACATACCTGGAGTCGTGTTTTGTTTCATTCACACGTTTGAGTAATACTTTATTAGTCTGTCTACATTTCTAAAGCTCAAAATGCTCTGTTCAACCTTGTGAGGTCATGTAGTCATGCAGCTACCTTTAACTTTTATTCAGTAGATTGGCAATTCCAGGTCTGCCCTTAGCCAAATGATTATAGTGAAGGTGTACGGAGTTTACAAACACAATATGGCACCTCCTGTATTACCACATGACACCACAAGGTGGAACAGAGTGTTTACTGTTTGAGAGAAGAACTTAGCATAACTATGCAGGGTTTATGTGTTAAACATGTGTAAATGATACAAAACAACTCCAGATGTGTTTCTGATGAGGAAACATCATTAACATAGATCAGAAAATAGCATTATATGGGACCTTAAAATAACACAAACAAAATATCGGACCAAGCTTTTCCAATAATATCAGTATAAGCCTAAAAGTGGTTTGTCCCCGATTATGTAATTTTTACCTTGCATTTTCCAGGCCTTCCTCTGTTCTTCTTTGGCAATCTGTTCCATGTCCTTGTCGTAGATGTAGTCTTGGCACATAAAGCAGTAAATGCCCCCATACAGCAGGTCAATAGCTGTGGACAAAAACACACAAAACATCAAATCTGCCGAATGTCAAAACTCCTCTTTCCGCGGAGGGTTTTCCTCTCTGAAAATTGTTTGTCAGGCAGCTGTGAGGCGACTTTAAGCTGTGCGAAGTGATAACGGGTTCGCTCGGGGTTGCCAGGTAGCGACGCTTAACTGCTGACTTCTCCGCTATCTGTTCACACAGTCCAGACATAAGGAATCAAAAGGTGAGAAGAGAGACGATCAAATTATATATATTTTTTGTCATCTGTTGTTCAGGTAAGAGAAACACATGGATAAAAAAAGATGAGAGTAGTTAGTTAGAAGTAAAATGTTCAACAAAAAATGTACTTTCGTGCTTAAACCCTGATCGGAAGAAACCTGATGAAATGCGAATGGTCTATTTTCGAACTTTTTTCACAAATAAACCGCATCCAACTTTAAACAAAACACAACAGTTCAATCAGTCAGTCGGACTTTGTTTGGCGCGTTCACGATGACTCTCAGTTTTGTTCAGTTGTGGCATGTAGGGAGGGTGCTGTCTGGGACGGCGTGTTCGGAGTGACTCAGTTGTTCAGTTGTGGCTAGAAGTGGCACATTGCACTCGCATTTTCATTTTCATTCCTCTGTTCCGTTCCTCGTCCGTGTGGAGTGATGAGTGTGGCTGCGGGTGTTTTTCGCTGTGTGGTCGCTGTCTGCTCCGTGTGTGTTCGCGTGCACTGCGGGTCTTTGTATTTTACTGAATTCGTGCTGGGACACCCGAGTGCATTCGTGTATAGGGCACTCTGGATTGTGGGGTGCGCAGTCGTTTTTTGATGGGGTTGGAGGCTTATGAGCGCGGCCTATGGTGCAGAAAATACGTTGGTTAAAGATGCATTGTGTGACTTCTCAGACAGAGGTTCTGCCACCTGCTTGTATCGATGAAGATTTGATTTCTTTGCTTTGAACATTCTGCAGTATGACATAAAACTTAATTGTGCAGTTATTCAATTAAGAGGGAAGGTTATTGCTTGAAAAAAAATACTACAAAAGCAGGTTCAGCTAGTTGAATCAAGGAATCTGTTCTATGTCTTTTCAGTCAATTTCCTGGTTGGGCTTTTAATTGGCTGTAATAAAACTCTTTAGATTGATGTTGAGCTTGGAAGTTCTACATTCTTACTGTGAGTGGGCACATCTCTCCACATATTTTAAAATAACCTGCGAAGTAGACTCTCTTTAAGTCATGTTAGAGTGTTGTTACCTCATCAAAAACATACTTGGAGTTGTGTTTTGTTTCATGAATATGTTTGAGTACCGTTAATCCTTTATCGCCAAAGCTCTGTTCCACCTTATGATGTCATGTGGTGGTAGTTTTTTTAAGTTAAAAGCTACCTTTTACATTTTCTTCAGTAGAGATGGGCCGGTTTTACTTTGTAGTAATCGTCTGACCTCGCAGCGATAGATTTTGTTTGCTTGACGGTCGGCGGGTACTTTTTTTTATTTAACCAATCGCTGCAATCGGGGCTAACTGGTATATTAAGCTTTTCCCAAATCCCGTAGGAAGAAGGGCAAAAACGTCTTTCCCCTTGATAAAATTCACCAAACATTCTCTTTGTTCTGGCTTTAAATCCTTGATCTCGGGAATCATTGCCAACACAGAATATGTCTCTTCGCTGATTGGCTGGTGCCCGGACTCACACTTTTGGGGTTTTTGTTTAACGTCTAGTGTATTCCGATTCCTGACCTAGTCACTGGAGAGAAATAAAACTGAGCAGATGCACTAGGTGGCGCCAGTCTGATTACATTTCCAGGTGTGACATTATCCAAATAATTGTAGTGAACATACGTGGTGTACAAAGTCACAGTGGAGAACAACCTGTATTACCACATGACATCACAAGGTGGAACAGTTTGAGAGAAAAAACTAATAAAAAGCCTAAATATGTAGGATTTGTGAGTTAAACATGTGTAAATGAAACAAAAAACAAATCCAGGCATGTTTGTGATGAGGATACAACATTCTAACATGGGGTATAAATTGTGGTTGGTTGGAACGGGGGAAAAAGGTCAAAAGATTGTTATTCTGACCTTCACTGATGAGAGGTTGTGCTCACTAGTGTGTGTGAAGTGAGGAGAGAATCAGGAGTGAATCTCGCCAAACGCCAGCTAGATCCAGTAAAGCCCCTGTGCTATTGCAAGACAGAAATGAACTCCAACTATGGATGACGGAAAAGGTCTGTACCCATCTTTGAACTTGCTGCTGCTGCTGCGGGGAGAACTTGATTTTGAACCATGAAAGAAAAGACCGCAATTGTGCACAGGCAGTTTACACCATCGCAGTTTGTGTTGAACTTAATTAGCAAGTCGCAAAAGCTGCAATTTATGATACAAGAATTTCCTTCACAAACAATATCTTGTTGTCTTCTGCATAAAAACTGCAAAGTCTAGGTCTGTACAAACATGTTCTGAAATGCGATTCTTGTACTAGTTTGTGGGGTCATATTTCAGTCTTTTTGTCAGTTCCTCTGGAAGTACTTTAAATGTGAACTTTTGAGAATGTTTAGTACCGTAAATTCCGGATTATAGAGCACACCTGAATATAAGCCTCATCAACTAAATTTTAACAAAATTGTAAAATTGTACATATATAGGTGTCCATGTCTTCAAGAACATTATCAAGTTCGGGCCATCTGCTTTTAATCGCCTCTGAAAGCTTTTGTCGTCTTTTTGCACTGAGTCAGTTTGTCACGCTGCCGTCGCCAAAATCTCACCATCGCTCCACTGATGCAGAGCTCATGTGCATCAGCTCTATTTCCTTCTTTGACAGCCACATCAATCGCCATTAACTTAAAAGCTGCATTATCTGCATTTCTTCGTGTGTTTCGTGTTTCTTCTTATGAGAGTGTGCGCATGAAGCGCAAAATAACTGTTCAAAACACAATCAAACGAGCATCTTCCTCAGCGCATCACCCCCGTCTCTCCCAGTGCTCTACCGCACATCTCCTGCAAGAGCCGCTGTCCTGCCTGTGTCATGTCAGTGTCTTGGAGGATTTCAGCAGATTTCAGACTCTCTCGGGCGGCTAGGCTAGTTCTATCAATTAGGTCTGAGTGGATGTCCAGCTACTAAAGTTTGAGACATTTCTTCTCATTATTTAAGCATACAGGTAAGACGTATCCCGCTCACTAATGTTCATTTACAAATTAAAAGGAACCTACATGTTTAAAAAACCCAGATTCAGAACCAAGGTTATGGAGCGAAGTGTCGCTGTGAAAGGAGTTCACTTATGGAATAGTCTTGACGAAGAAATAAAAGAATCAAGTACAATGATGACATTTAAAAAACATAAAATTGAATGCACTGTGTCTATATGAAAAAGAAAACTAAGTTGTGTATAATAATGAAGATTTACTGTTTGCAACTGATCAGTATTTGTGCCTGAACTGATATGGAGTGTTTAGTAACCATCGGTCTTGATGTTCTGTCTTGAAAAAGGAAAGGGGGGCAGATAACATAAGATTTTTTCTTCTTTCTGCTCCTTTTCATTCATTTCTTGTGTGTTTGATGTTGTGACACTGCCGATGTCTTTTAATGCTTTATGAAATAAATAAATAAATAAATAAAAATTCTGCAGCATAACTTACTTTATCACACGGCGATAAACTATTTGAGTGCACTGACAATATTACTAGCTAGTGTAGCAACTTCATGTTAACCCTAGATCCATGTGTTAACCACACAGATAGCAGTGTTTTCTGCACTCAGGCTGCATGCATCCGCTGTGTTGCCAAAACCATAAACCGTATATATGAATGGACAATATGCTAAACAAAGAATCCATCCATATATTCGCTGCATTGTTTTATTAGCGGCAGGGTTCAAAGTGTGAGAAAAAAGTAGTGGCTTATAGTCTGGAATTTATGGTACTAGGTTTCTGTTCAAATTAAATTGCAAATGCTTCTCAAAAAAATGTAATATTTTCCCTAAATCAATCTGTATTTCTATAGTTCTCTGATTGGATAAAATTGTTTGTTCCAGGCAGTTGTTTCCTTGTGGTTCTCAAATAAGCATTTTAACAGAACTAGAAGAAAGAGAAATCAGGTACAGGCCCTTTAAAACTGAAATGTAATCAGTGCTTCAGTAATAAGGATCCATCCATATTTTTTTATTGTGGCTAAATATTATGAACTATATACAGTACAAAATCACAATGCACTTCCTTTTTAGCCTTCACTTTGACACATTTGGTCTATTCTTTCCCCATCAGCTCTGTGCCCTGTAGCTACCTGTTTGCAGTTGCTATAACAACCTGCCTCCCAGCTTTTCTCTCTCATCCCCGGTAGGTATAGAGAATTAAAACAACTGAAAAAATACAGGTTACAGGAAAGGAAAGACAACTGAAATATCTTCTGAGTGGTCTGCGGTTTGTTCATCTTGACATTTGTGATCCTCAGATAATCAGTCAGTACGGAACTTCAATAGAAGTAAATGTCAATTAGGTAAAAGCTACAATACCAAAAGGGTCATCAGGTAGCCATGGGAACAAGATGAAGGCTAAGGGAAAGTGATGAGAGGAATGAGACTGCAGGATGATGTGAAAAACCTGCTACTCATGGACTGCATGGAATTTACATGTATTGTGTAGCATAGAATTCCTTTGTCAAAACTGTAGCTTTACAAAACTTAAATAGGAGTAATACCAACTTGAAGTTCAAGATGCCCTATATAACCTTTCTGCACATCTCCATGGGCATGGAATTACTTTGCCGGAACATTCCAAATTATGGCATTAAACTTGTTCATCTTCATGGAGACGAGCGACTGACATCACCAGGCTAAGTTATGGGGCACATCTGCGAGAGGCAAGCCCGCTCACACACACAGAAGGGAAGAATGCATGTTTTTTTAAGATATTCTATTCTTCTAAATAAAACCTATTAGAGCCTGACCGATATGGATTTTGTTGTGGCCGATATGAAACCGATATAATGGGAGTTGGCGCGGCCGATAGCCGATATAATCACCGATATA